TCCTTCCTCTACTCTCCTACCTCCTCCTCTCTCTCTCTCTCTCTCTCTACACTACCTCTCCTCCTACCCTACCTCTCTCTCTCTCTCTTCTACTCTACTCTCTCTCTCTCTCCTCTCTCTCTCTCTCTCTCTCTCTCTCTCTCTCTCTCTCTCTCTTTCTTTCTAAGTTTCAAAAACATTTTGTGGAAGCTTCACTAGGATTCATTGCCAAAAGCATTTTTCAGCAGCCACAGGCCCCCTCCGATTCTTCAACAAGCTTTCATGTATTTGCCATTAGTGGGAAAGCAATTTTTGAAGCCTCACCAAAAATGCAAATGACGGTTGATTTTTTCGTAGTAATGGGTTGATGTTCATTGTTTATTTCAACACAGAGCGTAATTTTTTTCATCTTCATCGAGCTTCATTGAGATTAATGGTTTATTGGTTTTGATTGAGCTTATTCTGTTGAGCTTTAAGGCCTCATCAAGCTTGATCGATGAATTTTACTTCTTTTTTTTTGAAGCATACTGAGCTTCATGATGAAAACTCATTCCTTGGTATTATTTGGCTGTTGCTTGACTTGTTGTCACATATTTTTATATTTTTAAGTTTATTTTTTTTCTATCTGTTCCATAATTTTCCCTATTTCTTTATGTATATCCATTCTTGGGGACATAGGTTTTCCGAATGTATCATTTCTTAAATGAGAGGTTAAAAATATGCCTAAAGATATCTCAGATAAGGTGATCTATGTTTCGAATTCAATTCCAATCATGCCGAAACTAACAAGTACTTGTATTCAGTGTCGCCACCAACAAGTACTTGGATTCACTAGGTTTAATAGGTCGCCACCAACAAGTACTTGGATTCACTAGGTTTCCTTTGAAGACCCTTTGGGTTCTGTTCCTGATATCTCTTTCTTAGAAATTTTTTTTTTTAATTCCTCACAAATCTTAAATGTATTCTATAGAAACATTTAGCTCCCCCTCAAATGCTTATCGAACACCATCCAATGTAGACTTGGCAGCAACACGACCCCTAACCCATCCCTTCCATTTCCGTCATGAAAATACACAAATTCTATATGTCACAATGGTTGAATTAGAGGCACTTGCATTTGCTCTTATTTGTATGCTCATTGTAATTTGGCACTGTGACTAACCATGTTGGCTTGAAATTGTCTTGGATTCCAAATGTATGGCTCTCGTCACTATTTTTTATTAATAAATATGGCACTTTCTGGTATAGTTCTCCAAGTTGGGCATTGCTTGTATGGGTTAACTGTGTTATTCTTAGTATTTAATTTCCTTAAAGTTTGGGATTTTAATTTAAAATTGTAGAAGTATATCTGTTAAAGGAGCGGAAAGGAACATAGTCAGTAGCTACAAACATGATTTATATGAACACCACCATTAAGCTAAATAAACCCATCACCTAATAATGGCTCTGGTTATCTGAATGCTCAGTTTTTATACTTACACAAATTCTCTATTTCAAATGTTCAAGGTTGCTCTGAGCATTATGTCACAACAGAAAATGGCATATGTTACTTTGTTTTCCAGCTTTATAGCTGTAACAAGGAACAAATTAATATCAATAATATTGAGTAGCCCAAGAGTGGAGTTTACCTGCGCTAGATTCACCTTTTTATATTCTCTCTTCGTCTTTGTTAACTAGATTCACTTTGTTTGAGCTGTTATTTACTTTCTATATGACATTGTTTCCATGATTTTGACTGTTGTAGAATATTTTGCCTTGATCAACATACTTATTCTCTATTAAATTAATAAGATGGATTTGTTGCACCTGTTATTGTTTAATGCTTTCTGTTCTCTTCCTTTTGTTCTCATATTCTAGGGATTTGCTTCTAGATATTCTGGCGAACCAAGTGCAGCAGCCAGGAGGAGAAGAGGACAACACTTTCCTATACATACAAGAGGGCCACTTCGCAAAAGATGTCTGGGAGGGAGTGGTAAATACATATTTGAAGCTAATGTTGTTTCATATTGCACATGGATAATTTACAATTGATTAAAATTTTCTTTGTTTTATTGTTTTCTCTTATGTTGGGTATGAAAATTCTATGATGACTTTCAGGAGGGGGCCCATATATATGTCGATGAGGCATTCGCACAGCCGGATAAATGGCCATTGACTATAGAGACACAGCACCTTGGTTAACCGAGTGGGTTTGGGATCTTTGGTGGATCTTTGACTAGGCAAGATCTATCACTCATTGATTATCACCTTCATAAAAAGCACACCAAGACAAAACTGCTGCCTTCCCATGAGCATTGGCAAGATGACACCCACATTGTACGACATTTGGATGATTCTACGGCTAAATGTGACGAGAGAGCCTGTCACAATTGGACATTTGCCAGCCCATCATACTTAACACCGGCCAAAGGTTGGGAGGTCGAGAGGAGACAAACTTTTCACTTAATTGCAGATGTCTGAAGGAGAGATTTGATCGATTACCATGGAACCATACTGTAGAGGACCTCCACCGCTACACGAAGGCCTATTTGTTATGCCTCTATCATTGAACCACTCTCTATTTGATAAAATAAATGGCGGTTTGCAGGTTGTACCTTCAGTCTGCTTTGAAATTCAAACAAATGGTTGCTCAAAGCGGAATACTTGCAAGCTGTTTTTATTTTTCAGAGAATGCAGTTCGAAGGTTGCACTTTGAAGCAGCATTCTGTTTTTTCAAAACAATTCGAGAACTCTATAATTGAACACTTTCTGTTTAAAAACCAATAGGCGTTCAAAAGTTGCACTTTTGGACCGTTTTGAAATTCATTCAAGAAGTGGTTCGAAGTTGTGACTTCGAAGCGCTGTTGTCTTTTACATAATGCAGTTCAAAGGTCGCACTCTCTGACGACATCCTTCTATAAAAAAAGAAAAGAAAAAAAAAAGCAGTTTGCAAAACTTTTTAAATAAATCTTTTCAACATGAAAAAAATTATTTTCGTTTAATTTCAAGCTACACATAAGTGTATCAGATTGAGTACAACATGACTATTTTTTTTCTTAGGAAAAAGGATCAGAACAAACACAGATTCCATGTTAAGAACTGCTTTGGATTGATGGCCTGGGCGCACTATCTTGGGCAGATGACTCTGGTCTCCTAACATCAATTAGTACTTTACATGCCCTTCTATTGTATCTTATAGTAGAAAGCCCTATTGTCTTCGATCTTTGTTCACGTGCATTGCTTTTTAGGTCAACTGACGCTTTGCCCTGGCTGTGGAGGTAGCACTGCCTTGTTGAACGCTCCAGTCAACAATACATCATTTGGAACAAGCTTAAAGCTGGCCACATATGAGCTATCGAAGTAATCGAAAGCAAATTAAGGTCGGCAAATATATGTGACTTAGACACAACTGTGGCTTATAGCTGCAACTGTGTGACTACATGACAATCCACTATTCTATTATTCAGGTGCATGTGAAATTCTCGACATCAACAGCATATTTCTTGTCATCATGGATCTTGTCCTAGTACACTGCTCCAGGTATTCGCTTTTTGTATTTTCTCTGAAAATCTTTTCATAAATTATTCTGATGCATTCAAATAGCACAATATGGGCTTGTCCCCCGCACTGAGTATCCATTTTTTGAAACACTCGGTGATGTTGGAGGTAAAATGATTGTATCTTGCCCTTGGGAAATAGTTGTTGCCCAATGTTCCATGGATTTTGCATAATCCATTGGTATGCATCCGCGTCAACCTACGGCATTTCTAGCATCACCACCTCGAAATCTTCAGTGGTCAAAGCACATGCAGTGTCCTAGAATATCCGTGTGAATGGTGATATCTTCCAACACCTCTTGAAATTTTTATCTTCCAACACCTCTTGAAATTTTAAGTCAGATGGCGCATATGATACCCCTAATATTGTGAAACACTTGTGCGAATGCATGTCGTAACCCTTTATGGCGGTCTAATACAATAGGCAATCAAGCCCGATCAAGTCATTGGTCTAACAATTATGAATGCTTCTTGGAAGATGTCACCATCAGCATCTACACCAACTTCAAACCAAATGAAGGTTTTTGAAATTTTTAAATTTGATGCAGCTTGAAGTTTGCAACTTCAAACCACTTTGAACTTTAGTATTTGGCTATTTGAAAGCGTTTCTCTCAAGCCGCCTGAAATTGTATAGAAACTGATTTGATATTCGGAATTTTTGACCGCTTAAACTTGAGTTTTGGGAACAATCTGATATTCGCAATTTCAAACCGTTCTACACTTTGGACTTGAGACATAATTGCAAACGCCCAGCCCAGGCTCCCCTTTGGCCCACCCACCACAAAACCGCTTCAAACTGAACTTCAGAGGATGTTCCCTCGGTAATCCAGGTTCGTCCAGTGTGGGAGCCATAATAAGGGACCATTTCGGCACCACAATAGCTTCTTCCTCCACCTACATCGGCCACACCAATTCGGTGGAAGCCGAGGCCTATGCTGTCCTGTAAGGACTAAAGCTGCGGCAAACACTTAGCCTGAACTTTATCTTGATTGAGGGAGACTCACACAACACCATTATGTGCGCCCAAAGAATCCCCTCTTTACTCCAACCCCGGACCCAAGCATACGTATTTGATCAGATTCATTACTTGTGCAAGGATATGGACGTCTCATACCTGGAGGGAGGGAGGGCAAACAAGAAGCAGACGCCCTAGCTAAAGAAGCGGCTTTAAGGGAGGAATTTTAGAAGCTTTCATGTTTGACTTGCTGGATTTTTTGGACCCTTTTCTTTATTTTCTTGGTTGTTGTTTCTACATTGTAACGTTCTTAAAGAAGGCTTTTGGTTTTCCTTTTTCGGTTTTCTTCTCCTAGAGCATCCTACTTTGTCATTTGCCTAGGCCTTTTGTACTCTTGCACTTTCTTAATTTAAGGTTAACATTCTCCAAAAAAAAAAAAGAAAAAAAAAAAAAAAACCGTCAACACTTTCATTTTTTTGGAACATAACCCAGTTCAAATTTAGCCCGTTCAAACTGCTTTCTGTTTGTAGAAATATGTCCAAAAATGTGTCTTTTGGACATTTTTCTCCTAAGGGAGCAGTTCAAAGTATGCCAGTTCGAACGGCACCGCATTTTTCCTATCCAAATTTTAACTTCACAATTTGAAACAGTAAGTTATTCAAACTTCGATCCGCTTTCTACTCTCAGCAATCTAAAAGTTGCTTTCTACGCTCAGCAATCTAAAATGGGTTTTTTTAACAGTTAAAAACAAATTTAACCCATTTGATACCTACCTAAGGTTTGAAACCTATGACTAAAACCCGTGATTGCCTGAAAGTACGAACTTCGAACCGCCTTCTAGTTTTACTTATCAGAATGTGGTTTGAAATGCAAAAATATTAGTTCGGAATTTATATATCTAGCACTTGAAATTCTTATATGTGATATTTCAAGTCATAATTTCCCAACCTACTCTATGTATTTAATTCGTCTAGCCGTGTTATTAGTATGTTAAATTCACCAATTTCACACTAAGGTAATTTTAAAGCAATTTGAAACATAAGATAAAATAAAGCACCAAAAAAAAAAAATTATCATCCTAAACCGATCAAAAGATAATGTAATTTACCATTCATTGGTCCATTAAAACAAACAAACGCCAATTAAGTCCATTAAAAATGGCAAAAAAAAGACAGTCAAATATCATAAAAAAAAAAAAACCCATCTGTCAACAAAAAAATAAAAAAACAGGTCCAGTAATAAGAGTCCGAAAGAATCTAAAGGAGAATTTGTCAGTTCATCAACTACTACTTTTAGGGGACAATCACCATAACACCTAATAAATTAGGTAGTTTGCCTATTGGAAGCTAATGTAACTATTTATGGCCATTTTAAGGCCTTACGAGAGTGTGTAACAAAATTATTATAGTAGAACAATAAACTGCAGCGGGAGTATGGTCTAGAGGAACGAGCTCGGCAATATTATTTATCGAGACTCAGACTAGGCTTAACGAGCTAGGCCAATCAAGTTATAAAATCCTAAATATCTGAGCATAAAGCACAATCGATAAGGGTTAGCAGGGTAATTCCTTGATGAGTTCGAAAATGCCAAGGTAGAGCATCAAGGAACTATGTGACGTGTGTGGTTTGTGGGCATTAGGGACAAAGGCCAAAGCCTCATGTTTAAACCATCACACGGCACATGATGCCCATGCCAGGAAGCAAATCACCAATAAGGTTGATATGTGTATATGTGTGATAAATAACCCCCATATGCAATATAGAGTTGTGTGCGCACAGGTCTATGTCCCCTTGGACCTGTCCCTAAGGAGAACCTGTAATCCATAGATTAAGATTATGACCCTTTACTTATTGGCTAACTTTGATAGCACAATCATGAACCCTTATAATGGACTATGGATCATATGAACTACTGGGTCAGTTTGAGAAAGTGGGTGTGGACTATAGTTTCTAGTAGAAGAGTGCTTCAGTAATTTTGATATTATTTAATATAGTTTGATCCAAATCCCAACCAATTAATTTAAAATTAATTAAGTTGATCTTAAATGATTTTTAGACTAAGAAAATGAATTTTTAGATATCTATGGGTATTTTATTTTCTCAAAATTCATTTTATAAATAGTCTTAAACTGAATTTGCAGTATTTAATAAGTCGGAGAGAAAAATAAAATAGAAATCATTTTTAAAAAAAGTTTTTATTTGTTTTATTACATATAGGGGCCCATTATACTCCATGGGCCCCACTAGATTAATTGCATGTGGGTGGTGCATGGGCCCACTTGGGGCCTCATGAGAGGCACACCCAACACATTGATATTCTTTCTTATTTTGCGGCACACCAAAATCAGCCACTCAATCAATTTGATTTGAAAAGGAAAGTTCATGCAATTAAAGATATTTGAATTTTCAAAAAAGCATGTGTAAGATATTTATGGAAAAGAAAAGAAAGAGAAATCTATTTTATATTTGATGTGATTAGATTAAGGAAGCTAACGTATAAAGTTCTAATACCTTTCTTTTAATCATGATGGTTGATCTCTGTATTGAAGGATTCCCAGCCTAAGCTTCTCATACTTATAAGATTTAAGATAGACTTTGAGCCCAAGTGCCATCCAAAGAAGAGACCTGGAGTGGGGTGTATGAAGTCCAACAGAGATGTCTTTTGGCAGTTTATTTTTATGTTATGCGGTTTGTGTTTCATGATCCCTACTCAGTCTTATGCAATTTTAGTTGTTGAAATGAGAGAATTGTATTAAGTGGCAGCAAGAGAGAATCCATTTTGTGATTCATCTTTATTTATTTGGAGTTTTTTTGTTGCATTTGGACCTTTCAAAGTACTCTAGCTTGTTTAAAAGAGAAAAATTAAAAGCCGTATATGTCGTGCTAGTTCACCTTGTCCAAGTTTCATAAATTAAATTTGCACTTTACATATGATCTAAATGAGCCCCCTTCAACAATGAATCTAGACCGTTTATTTGGTGAATTTTAATATCTAGGCCTTTGGGAACTCAAAATCATTTTTTTTATTTTTTTTAATATCGTTCATCTAATGATAACAAAGCCCTCTACAAAATTTGGAAAATGAAAAGGTTCTTTCTAAGGTCTAGATCTAAGCATCTCATCAAACAATGACCTATGTAAAGTGGGGGAAGAAAACATTTTTTAGGGTGTATTTTCAATTTTATTTTATTTTTAGTGATTGTTCATCAACATGAAAAATGTATAATTTTACAAACAAATGGCTCTAGCGTGATTTTAGAATTGATTCATTATATTGCTATAAAATCGTTGTATGAAATCATTCCCCATCTCTATGACTATATTTATCTACGCCGCTAAAATGCCAATAAAATTTAAAAGAAAACCTACTTTTCTATGTTCCTAATAGAACAGGTACAAACTTTCTTTGACTAGTTATAAAAAGGTAACAGGTGTAATTGGGCTTCAATGTTTATGTCAATTAGGGTTGTGGTTTTTAACCTGATTCTCGATGGTTGGCACTCCTAAGGCCAACCAAGAAAGTTGTTTATCTGAAGAATCTCTAAGAGAGACCGGCAGCCTGAGAAAAAATTAAAGGCAAAAAATTCGTGGCGGAAAGCTGAGAACCGAAAATTGAGAAAGCTCGGGCTAAAACTTGGGCAAAGAGAGATTGAGAGGGGAGTGCGATCTTGAGGTTAGAGAAATAAAAGGAAGGCAAGGGGGTTTTGCTTCCTCCATTTTCCTCAGAAATTAACAACGCGCCCCTTGGGGTTTGCTACAGCTTTGCCCAAAATCCGGGAAAAGTGATAACTAAGAAATAGGTTGTTCTCTAGTTTTCTTAGTTAATAAACCGTGCCTAAAGCCAGAACTCGAGGGTTTAACTCCCGAGCCCAAATAAAAAAAAAAAAATTAATATATATATATATATATATATATATATATTCGTTATACTTTGCGTTATTACAGATGTACCAAATAGTTTCTGTTGTTATATGTATGTCTGTTTTTTTACCATTATAACACAATTTTTTAAAAAGGACGACTTTACCATTTTTCAGATGTTGAACATCTGAAAATAGGCTAAAAGTGTAATGTTCACATTCCCATTTTTGGGGGTTGAACATCCGAATTGAAGGGTTTTTCGGATGTTTAACTTTCGGACATCCAAAAATAGCCCGAAAGTTAAACATTCACATTCCCATTTTTACATTTCGCAGTCACAGTTTTTTATGTTTAACATCCGAAAATGGTTTCGGATGTTGGACATCAAAAATGACTACGAAATTATAGAGACCTTCTAGAAAGTCGTATTTTCGGATGTTGAACATCTAAAAATGTGATATTTTCGGATGTCCAATATCCGAAATCATTTTCGGATTTTAAACATCTGAAAATGTCATATTTTCAGATGTTCAACACCCGAAAATGAGAATATGAAGTTTCGACCTATTTTTGGATGTTCAACATCCGAAAAAATAAAATAAAAAAAGTTACGTATGTAATTTTCGGATGTTCAACATCCGAAAATGGGTATGTATGTAATTTTTGGATATTCAACATCCGAAAATGGGTATGTATGTAATTTTTGGATGTTTAATATCCGAAAAAAGGTAAAGTTGTCTTTTAAAAAAAACAAAGTTATACAAAGTAAAAAACGGATATACATGTAATAACGAAAACTATTTGGTACATCCGTAATAACACAAAATATAACAGATATGTATGTAATTTTCTCATAAAAAATTTAGTAGAGATATACACCTCCTAACAAGTACTATTCTGGATCTGCATTGCACTTGAGAAGCACACTTAAATCTATTTTATCTCATCTTATCGTCTATTGGAGCCCCACCTAAGTTCTTATTAATATACTCATTTCGACTTATATCACTTCTTGTCTTGCCACTCATCCATCTCACCATCCTCATGTACACTCATCATATTGGTATGTTGTTTCTTGACCGCCCAACATTTTGCTCTGTAAAGCAAAGCTGATTTCACCGATGTTCTATAGCTTTATTAGTATGCAACGATCAAATAAAACTTGAAATATCGATTCAAAATCCCTTCAAAACTCAATTTAAAATTTTAAAAAATTATTTGATTTTTTTGAATAGTGACTAGATTTTAAAAGTAATTTAAAATGTCTAGTATACTACTTTTAAAATTTTCATACTACTTATTGTTAGTGTAGTTTTGTATTTATAACGGTATTTTGTTGTCAAAAAATTTTGTTTTAATTCAACGATTGTAACACTGAAGTTTAAAAAATCGACAAGTTGACTCAGTCAAAGAGGGTACTTGGGCCGAGCCTCGACTGGACTCATTTGAGTCTCCTTGGGTAACCTTTTTTAAAAAAAAATTACGTGGAATAAACCAAGAAAATAAGTCATTTTAATTTTTTGGTTATTTACGACCTCCACCTAGAAGCCCCGTTTTCATTGATTTGGACCAAAATTG